ATACAACGCAGATGTCGTCAACTGCTTCCATTGCAGAATGTCTCGTAGGAATTCATAGTATACGATAGGTTGAATAGTGCTCGTGCTTGTGGGATCTATATGGCTTGTCCATTTAAAAGAAGACCCTTGTAATATTTCAATACATGCTGGTTACACAGTCTTACCGTAACTCAAAATTATGGCTATTATCTTTCAAAGGCTAGCGACTGTAGACTCAATGTGTTCTAGGACCTTCCGGACCACCCCAATAATTTGCGCTACACTGCCAAAATAAATTCTCGGTTGCTAAATCCACTCGATGAGCTTCTGTTCTTTGCACTAAGGCGAATAACGCGCAGCGAAAACGAGCGAGTCAAAAAGATCTTTTTACGAAAAAACTTGAATGAAGCTCATCAGAGCGCTACAGAGTAGTTCGATGTAACTAGTTTGTCATGACAGCCCTCTTTCGGCTACTCGGAGATATCAAACATGTATAAGTTCAATAGAACGCATAGAGACAGGAAATCAGAAGCAAGGTACAGCAATAGCGAGAAGAGTCAGTCATGGAAATCTACCTCTCTGTCCGTTACGCTCTGAAAGCGCATTTTTTGCTCCAAAGGAATGTATGTGCCTATGGCACTGAGCACTCCACGAGTAGTACGTAGGCTGAACTGTAAGGGGAAGGGGTGTGTCGCGCGTATGCGTGATGTGGCGAGAAGTGGCACAGGGCTGCGTCCAGGATATCACCACAATGAAGCGTGTCGACAACCCCGCGTGAGAAGTCGCCCGAGTCGAAACTTTTGTTCTTGGCAATCAGGAGCATCCTCATATGTATGTCATATTGTTGCAACTGCCAAACGCCCATGCATTGCTCATAAGGTCTTTGATCGCACAGGGTAAACGTATCGGTAGCGTAAAACGTAGGGTAGAGTACATGGTCTGTAGAAGTATTGTGCTTCCAGGCGTGGCGACGTATCGACGGACCTATTCGAGGCTCTACTAGTTTCTCGGACCATTATTTCTGGTCACCCTGTAATAGATGCCCAACTTTTCGAGGTTGGTGCAAAATTTCGAATTTCTCGTATAACTTCGTATAATTGGTAATGTCGTGTTTCTGGTACATATGAAACTCGTTTTTCGGCGCGAAGCCGCAACATTCGGATTCTGCCAGCTCAGCTCGCTCTCCTACATAAACGTTCTTCTTCCAAGTTTGAAAGCCCACTTCATAGGAAAGTTTACAGAGCAGTTTTAGTGCCCATATTTGTAATCAGCGTCCAAATCAAAACTACTAGGTCTCCATTCAGAGTTCCATGGGAATTGCAAGGCACTTTCTGGGTAGCGAAACTCCAAGAACGAAGAGGTCAGGAACACTGAGTGTCTTGGCGTCTAGATTGTGAGTTGCATACTCTTTAAAGAATAACACTACCAATTCATTGAGAAAATAAGAGTTCTCATCCTCATAACATTTTCAATCCGCAGTCATATAAGCCGAATTCACTTAGCAGCGAGCGTCGCTGACTCTCCTTCGCATAAACCAGTGTCCGGCACAAGAATACACGCCGCATCATACTGCGGGACCTCCCCTAAACGTCATCATCACCCGTAAAATGAAAAGTTATAGGGCATTCTGTATCGACCCAGGAAATATTTGATTTCTGAACACCACACCAAGCATATAGGCATACCTGTGTAACAGGTTCAAAAGTGATGTAAATCACAGAATGATCAAATCAACGACAGGTCTCGTGTAGAGCATTTTTCAAATTGCGAAAATCGAAAATGAGTGGAGGGAGGAAGTCTTTCATCACTTTCCTGAAAAGGTGTGGTAAACGCTAAACGTAAGTGTTACAATAGGCATCACTTACTTGCAATTCCTACAAGTTGTATCGAAAACTTGTTGCAGCTTGCCGAATGCACTGCTCAATTGATGTAACGTTTGCGGAGTCCTGAACAGACGAGATGTAATAGATTCCGCAAGACAACAAAACTATTAAGCAAAAAATACAAAAGCTACTCGTAATCAAACTCACCAACGAATTTCTTGTGTATTGATCGTCTGCATAAGGTGGATGTTTGCTTGGGTAGTAAGCTTTTGATAGACAATATACTGCGAGGGTTTTGCGAGGTCTACCTGAAGGCACTCAATGAAAACTTTTCACATCCCAAATATATAGTTCACAAGGATGTTTTAAATCTATTTAGCGGCTAATTAGCTGTCAAATTCACTTTTAAAGTCCTTCGTGAGCCATAGCATACATTATACGAAGTTATACGAACCCTCTTCTCTCCAAGATCTGTATAAAACGTCCACTCTTCGTGAGGTGCTACGAAAAGAATTTGTTCTATGACTCCTGCATTTTCCACCATTAACAATTTTTGGGTGAAGACAATTTGTTTCGAATAAAAACGAACCATGCCATATCGTAGCTGAAAATGGGTAAACAAACCTCCAAAGTACAGAACGTGAAAGTGCATTCAATGAGAAATGAGAGTGCAAAAAGGGATCAGTACAGTTATACTCCTAACCTCAACAATACTTCCTACATACGCTGTACGCTCGAGAAAAGTGGGAAAATGCCTGTCTTGTTCTTGAGTAACTCCTTGTGGAACTAGAAAAAAAAATATAAGCTTTAGCTAGATCTAAAACAGATAGACTGTGGGAATGATAACTGGATATTTTTGGGAGGGCAGCAACACCTGAGCGAAAGCTGTTTCGAATTGAGCATGGGGTGACATTCCGGTAGCCCAGTGCGAACACGACAACGCCGAGGCACTATACATGAAGGGCGACGCCGTTGAAGTCGAAGAAATTCGCCCAGATACATGTAAGTTTGCTAAAAAAAAAAGCTTATAACCATACAAAATTTCAAAACCATGATAAGGCTCAGCAGACTTACGAAATTTCCTTCGTTCCAATTCTCACAATCAATCATGGACTCAACGGTTTCCACGACTTGAACGTCGAGTTGCTCTTCCTGAAACTCTTACTTGGTAATGAGAAGAATTATGAAAGAAAGGAGAGCCTAAACTTCCCGCCAACTGTACCTGAAACACAGCTCGTAGACGAGTTGAGAGGTTCGATCTGAGGTAACTGATTTGGCAACCCTTTCGCATGACTTTCGAGATTGCTAGAATTATGGTAGAATTAACTCACGCTTTGATTTTTTCTCGGAAAATATTGCGATAGCAGATGTGCAATGGGGATGAAAATCAATAAGGCTACAAATCCATTCAGCTGCTCTTCAAAAAGTCGTATCGTTTCGTCATAAAGAATGGGTGGAGGTTTGTGACCGTTATATTTCGCATTTTCTGTGCATTAATGAAAGTTC